AGCTAATATATAAACAAAAATATATATAATAATACCTAAAAAATTTTACTTTCGACAATTCAATTTACAAAGATTTAATCCTTTATCTCAAAAATATGTAATAAATATGTAATATTTACAAGTTATGTAATGTACAGTACATTTCTCATCTCTAACGTGCATACTGATACAGCTGTGTTGTAATAACGATTTCTATACCTATATGGGAAATCAATGAATGTTTCTGGTTAGGGAAAATTCAAGCTCCGTGGGAAATATCGTCAATTTCGGGACCCCGTCAATTTCTCATTATATGACGAACTTTCATTGTGCCCTATAAGAAAAGGTGTTCGAGAACTGGGGAACTGCTCAAGAACTGTAGAATTGACCTAATTCTGCAGACATTTTATATAACATTATGTATACAAATTCTTTTTAGGAACTTTACATACTGTATATGAAATCAATACGGAACTAATGCCAAAATTTTATCCGAATTTGAGAAAAAATCTGAAAGCTTAATTTCACTACATATTAAACTTTATCGTTATGAAAATTTGTTTAATACTCATGCTATATATATAGTTCTTCATGTTGAACATTTTTTATTATAGCGCTTTGCAAAAAGGGACCTCAGTTTTGTAATTGATTTTCATTGGTGTTAGTACTTGCTTGTTCTAATAATGTTAGTCTTCTGTTTATGGTCTGTTGCAGCTATACGTTCTGTCTTTGTTGTTCAAATTGTTGGTCGATTGTTTGTTTGATACTTTCTGTGAAGGTTATGGTTGCTTTTGCAGAAATTGGTCTATGTAATCTCTTAATTGTGTGGCCGTTGCTGGTAGTATGGTTGTTGATTCTTGTCTTCTCATATATTCCTGCTCTGATCTTTCGTTTATTATGTTAGTTATAATTATTTGCTTCTGTGTTTTTTTTTTTTTTTTGCGCAAAGAATTTTTTGGTAGTTCATAGCATGTAGGCGTTTTGCAATTTCATTTTATATGCTACATATCGCTCATACAAACCTGCCACATTTACAAATGCGATAGCATGCGGATATCGAGCGATATTCCGTATTAAGCAAGGCATTTACGTTTATACATACCATAAAATAAATTGCAAAGCAATGACATTCCGGAGTTGGAAAACGAAACAGGTGTTGTACTGCTATCATTTTTGTAGCATTTGCTTAGTCTGTCTTTTCGATCTGTTGACCCCAGTCAACTCGCATGAATTAGTGCTTGGATCCGGATAAGTTATCCGGATGAGTTAAACGGATATTCGGATGATTATAATTTAAACGGATATGGATAACCGATAAGCAACTGCTTAACGGATATGAATAACGGATAAGGACATGGGATATCAGGATCCAAGCACTAGCATGAATACATGATGAATTTACGTGTTATAATTTTTCATCAATTTCATCATTTAAATGTATTCGATGCAATAATATAGGTTAAACTTCTGTAATGCTGGTACACACGAAGAAAATTACATGAAATCTAATTTACTGAAACTTAGGTAAAATTACATGAAATGTATGAATGTAATTTTCGTAACACACCCTAGTCACACCTTTTTGCAAACGTTATAAATAATCGATCTTTAAAATGATTTAAGATTCAATTATCGATTCTAGATTGTCGAGAATTGATTTTCTCCCTAAGTGACAGGTTGTAACAATAATATAAAAGAATATATACGCAACTTAAAATATGTAAAATTTATTTTGATTACAATAAATTTTTAATACATGTATTTCCAAAAAAAAAAAAAATGAAAAATAACTTTTATAGAAAAAAATAAACTTAAGAAATTCTCTCTTTCTAAAACAAGTCTAGAGTCTAAGTTATGAAACATTCTTTAGTAAAAAATTTTTAAATTCTGAATTGATACAAATAATCATAATACGGTTTGTTTTCGTCAATTGCATCATATACAATCTGTGGATACTCGATTTCAATTTCAATTTTGTTTGTAAACTTATTAAAACCTGTACTATGCTCTGCATTACTAGTAGTATTAAAAAATTTTGATTCAGAAAAATAGATAATTAAGTTGTAAATATAAATAAAGAAGAATTGTGTAATAAACTTACTATGCCATCTCCTTATGCTTATTCTTTGTGTCCCATTCGTTAACATTTTTAGATTCCCAATGAATCATTTCCTCCTTAAATTCTTCTCCGATCATCTCACAATATTTCTTCATCACTTTCTCTGGATTAGTAATTAGATCATCAGCAACTATTACGATGGGTTCTTTATTTGATTCTTTTAAATAATCAAAAAGTTGTTTTGATTCCTTTAGTCCTACTAAATCTTTTCTGAATTCATCTAATCCTGCAAATTCATTATCTTCGGATGTGGATGCTTTTTTAAATATAAACTCATTAGCTTTATACAAGGATTTTACCGACTTTTCAGGATTACGGATTAAGAACGTATGAGTCATTTCTAAAAGGCGTGGATCAGATAATAAAGAAGTGCCTGATGCAGCCATTAAAAAAAATTGTGTATTATCTTTACAAAATACTCTTTTTGTCTTATTTTGCGATTCATCATTATACGTTGACCAAATTTCATCAAATTTAGAATCAAACTCTGGTATAGTTGAACTAAAATCTGGAAATTTTGAAGGGTCAATAATTCCATTTTTAACGTCTTTTGAGTGTTGAATAACGATATCAAATACATTTTTCATGAATGGATAAGTAATGTGATGAAATTCTTGAGGCCGTTGAAGGAATGCTCTTTGAAATGCATGAGAA